GAGGTGGGCAAACTATGGCCCGCGGGACCGTCCTACCCGGCCCTTGAGCTCCCGGCCAGGGAGGTTAGCCCTCAGCCCTTCCCCTGCTGTCCCCATCCACCACAGCCTCAGCTCACCCTGCTGCTCTGAGAGGCATGGTAAAGGGGTGGGGAGGGGGTTGGATAAGGGGCAGGGAGTCCCAGGGGGCAGTCATGGGACAGTGAGCAGGGGGAGGTTGGATAGGTGTGGGAGTCCCAAGGGGCCTGTCAGGGGGTGGGGGTATGGATAGGGGTCAGTGTCCCAGGGGGAGGGGGCCGATTAGGGGTGTGGGGGGGTCCTGGGAGGGGACAAGGAAGGGGGGGGTTGGATGGATCGGGGGTTCTGGGAGGGGGGTAGTCAGGGGGCAGGAAGTGGGAGGGGGTGGATAGGATGTGGGGGACAGGCTGTTTGGTGAGGCACAACCTTCCCTACCCAGCCCTCCATACAGTTTCGGAACCCCAATGTGACCTTCAGGCCAAAGAGTTTGCCCACCCCTGCCCTACACCCTTTCACTGTGGGCAGGGGCAAGGAGACAGAAGTGGAGTGGGTGTGTTCTTAGGGAGAGCTTCATCCAAAGAGCTTTGAGTCAGCTCTTCCCTATACTAAGTCTGCTAGTTACACACAGGACAGGAGCACTGCACCGAAGACTGGGACTGGCCAGTGGAGACAACAGGACTTGAGCCCTGAATACCGGGTACACAGTCCTCGCAGCAAAGCCATTGCTACTGACAGCAGGAGCCAGGCTGAGAAGGATCTTTGCACGAGTTCATTGAATTACTGCAGACTAAAAATAGCGAAGCAGCAGGAATCGCAGAATGCCTCCAAGGCAAGATCTGAAACAATACTTGCCAAAAAAGGGATAATGTGGAAGGACAGGCAGACAGGCTGCAGAACTGCACAGACTGGAGAGGCATGGAAGAGAGGGGGGGTGAAAAAGAAATACCAGGCACTGAGGCTAACGGAGTTGTTTAAGCCTGAATCAGAGAGGACTAGAAATTAGTGCAGTGGAAAGTGGCCGCCATGCCTCAACTAATTCCTGTATGGAGCAGGCGGCCTGCTGCAGCAGCTGTCTCTGAGAGCTGTGTGTAGCAATCAGGCTTGAACACTTTTACCAGACACCAGGTAAATTCCTACCAGGCTGCTGCCCTTGGATCCTGCTCAAGTAGTCCATCTTGCTAACAGATGTCTGATAAACTTCCACTCCTCTGATTCCTGGAAGAATTCAGGAGCTTTCATCTGTCCCTTCTCCACCCCAAAGCCTCTTAACTATTCATGGGGCAGGGTGGTTTAATCTCGCTCAACCTCCTGGCTGCTGCTGTGAAGCTGGTGGTCTCCCTACTTATCCCTGCTTCCAGACTCTTTTTATATTCCCCTCCCCTGTGAATAGCTCCAGTGCTGCCTCTGCTCACAGCTTTCCTGACACAAGACTGGGAGATCCAATTTGTCAGTTTCATGGTTCCTCACAGGACTCTCAACAGCAGCAGTCGATTAACCAGTCTTGTCAGCTTCATGCTGCTGTAGCCTGGGGAAAGCTTTGAGAAGCAGCAGAGACGCTGTCTGCAGACTCAGGAACTCTCTCCATCAGGACACACTAGAATGGTTTTCTTTACTAGTATCCCTAATTTCTCTCTTTTCTACGAAAGCTTACACTTGGCAGAAATCGATGGCCTTTGGCTTCCCACTTGCGAGTGGGTTTTTCAAGCCCTGCTTGGCCCTGATCTGAATGAAGAGTCCATCTCGAGTGAGGGGCTGACAATAGAGCTGGCACAGATGCCTGCTCCTCTATAGGAACTAGGAATGTAAATATTGGTAAAAAAAGTTAATTGGTTAAGTTATTAAAATTATATTGTTTAGCTGGTTAACCGTAAACCAAGGTCCCTGCAACCAGCCCAGTGCGGCAGGGGCTGAGGTCCCTCTGGCTGGCCGGCCTGGCGCAGTCAGGGCTGCTCCAGCTGGCCAGCCCTGCACGGCCGGGGGCCCTCCAGCTGGCATGGGGCTGCCGGGGTCAACGGTTAAGGTTGGTTAACGGTAAACCTAATGCTTACTAGTTAACCAGACAACCATTTCACCTTTTGCATCTCTAATAGGAACCAGGAGCTTGACTTTGGGACTCTAGGGGGAGGGTCACAATCCTACAGGCAGACAGGAAATAAGTTTGGGGCAGTTGAGGGGGAAGAGATCTTACACACAGTGCAGCCAAGCTGCTTTTCTTCCAGCCCTTGCAGGCACAGCCGGCTTGTCTGAAATGTGAGGCACTGACTGCAGCATAGATACGTGGGACCAAAGCAACAGAATCCATGCGTGGGGACCAGGCAGTGGCTCACAGACTCCTGGAGTAGACTGGAGGGAAGCGAAGGCTGTTTGCTAAGTCTGCGTCACAGAGCGAGACCTTGGCAGGCAGCTGATTGGACACTCAACAGAGACGAGTGCTTTAAAACTACCCCAAGAGCAGGGCTCATCAGCATAAAGCCCTATGTTTTCCTCCAGTTCTCCCCAATCCAATCCTAGGAGCACAGAGTGGAAAGGGCAGCCAGCAGCACGGCTGGCTCACACACCCTCAGTGAGTTTCAGCTATGCCACAGGCTGACAGCTGCAAGCACAGACTTCCACCAGCACACGCCGACTTCCACAATCCAGGCCCCAATACCTGCTTCCTCCTCCCCACCGGCAACGCTAGCTGAGAAAGGAGGAATCCCCCAGGGTTTTTGCAACATACTTGCTCCCTCCTTCCTCAGGTACACCAGGGAAAGCCACTTCCAATTCCTTGCTGGCCACGAATCTGATGAAAGTTTCCAACCACACAACTGAGCAGAGAGCAATGGAGGGGACGGAGCGGCATGGAACAGCCGGTTTCCTGCCTTACCGCTCTGGCCAGACCCCACTGGGACACAGGCTCTAAGGTGACACCCCAGAAAGCTCCCCCTCTCCCAACTGCTTCAGGTCTCGCTCTCATCCCAGTGGGAATATGCTCCATTCTCACAGCTGCACTGTTGTAGCTGCACCGTTTGGCCACGGGCCAATCACATATTTAAAAAATGGTAGGGGAGTTGTGCCCAACCCATGATCTTTACACAGTACTGAGGGCTGCACAGAACTGGTTTTGCCCATGTATCATTTTATGTACTGGAGACCTACACAAAGCAACGAACTCCAGCAAAATTACACACAAGCTGTAGATATGGTTTATAACTTCTGCTTGCAACACTGCAACAAGCAACCTCTGGCTGAATGACAGCAGCGTACCCCTGCCTATGGAGATTTAAGTTTAAGTTGAGCTGTAATGATCATCTGAGCCAATAAAGGGAGTTTCTGTACTAGCAATCACAAGAGCACAGTGTGTGCCCCTGCCACTTCTCCCCGTCCCCAACACACATTAGTGAAGGAGGAGCAGACGCAGGGGTGTCCATTTCTAGGAATGAGCTTCTCTGAGGCGTCGGATTGTCACCAAGTGCTCCCCCCACCCCTCTGGGTTCTGTTCCCACGTCCCAGTTCCAGCTGGGACCAGACGTGCCACATGAAAGGGTATTCTCCTGGTACCTCCAGCCTCCCAGGAAGCAGGAGACAGTTGGAGTCTCATAGGGAAGGATGGTCTTCTGTACTCTCCAACCCAATTTTGAAGCCTGAGGAGTTTCTGACCAGGAGCCACATTCTGGTGCTTCCTTCAGTAACTAGCTGTGTGACATTCACCCAATGTTCATTTTGTGGGTGTTCACACGAATGGCCCCTGTATTTCATGAACTACAAGGCCACTTTCAAAAAGGCAAATCCAGAATGTCCCGAGCCAAGCAAATACAAGGGAAACACAGCAGTGGGCTATCTACTTCCAGATCTTTTCAATACACTGACCCTGGAAAAGTAATCCCCAGCACTGCAGTTCAGAGGGAGTCAGGAAAAGGGCAGGTAACCTTAGGACTGGCTCCTGTGCACACAGGTAGTAATTCTAGACTAGGAATAGATCACAACGAGAAGGTGGTGCCAATCCCATCACTCAGCCAGCCTGGCACCTGGCCTGGGGAGAACGCACACCCTGGTCTCGCAAGGTCTGCTTGCCCAAACCCGCTCCCTTGGCTTGCCAGTGGCTCTCCTCCCCAAGCACCTCTGCATTGCCTTTAGAGCACCCTCCTTGCCCCATTAAACAATGGCAGCTGCGGGGAAGCTGAACTTACCCACAGCACTGCCAGGATGCCGTGCACACACTGCTCTGGCCCATGCTCACCACGCAGCCTCCAGATTTACGAACTCCTACAGAGGCAGTTAAAGGGGCACACAGCGCTGTGGAGAGAGCTCATGACGATGACTGGTCTCAACTTCAGGGACGAGCACAGGTTTGTGCCTCTCATACCTCGAGAGATCTGTGCCCTGAGCTCTCTAAATAACCTGGGACAGAGGTGCTGGCAGGGGTCCAATGGCAGCTAAACCTCATCAACCCTCACGAACTCCGAACACAAAGCCAGGCTTTGTGCACAAGACCAGATCAGCACCCATCAGAAAAAGGCTCCTTTGGCCTGGGACCCTGATCTCCTCTAGGGCCGGTTGTGAAAGCTCGACTGGATCAGTTACTTAGCAATAGCCTCCTGCTACCTTGCTGGTTACGTGTGCCCTTGGGAGAGATTCACAAACATGAACAAACCTCAGTTTGGAAAGGGGGAGAGCCTGGTGCGCTCCCTTCTTTATCTGCTTTAATTCATGTGACAACAGCATTACTGGGTGCTGGGTGTTTCCATCCTGTCTGGGCTATGGGCTAACTTGTTACTGTTACTGGATTTGCTGTATAGATTCACACTTTGAAGTGACCCTTGAGACATGCCCTCTGAACCCCTCCCATCCCAGCTACAGTCCTCCAAGAATATCCCACCCCTCTTAGGCCTGGAAGGGTAATGCTGGGGATGGGGCAGCGTGCACACCTGGCAATGAATACAACGGTATGACAAACAACAATCCAACTGTGGAAGAGGACAGACAAGCTCTCCAAAGGCACTTACCATCTTCCGTCTCCTGCCAGACGATGCCCTCCAGGTTGACGCTGGTGCCGGGTTCACAAGGGCCCAGACACTCCGGCTCGGTAGCCAATGCCACATCGCAGGTGTTCACCCCCACAGAGCGAGTGCGTACCATGATCTGCTCGCATGGTGATGAGATGTCATTATTGACAACGGGGACCAGGAGATGCAAGGGCAAAACTGCAGGCGTGGAGACTGGAGACTCCATCTGCGGGGAAGGAGAAATACACCAGTGACCACTGGGGAGAGCACCGAGGAGAAAGCAAACACCAGCAAGGCCCTCCCGCTTTCCTGGAGAACACAAATCAGGGCGCCCCCCTCCTGCCACTGTCCCATTTGGCCTATTTGCTCAGAGCAGGTTCACAGCCCATCCAGCCTCCATCAGAGGAGTAGGATTTAATAAGTCTTTTCCAGCCCTGATATGCCTATAAACTATGGCTCACTGCAAGAACAGCATTTTACAAACAGAGTCTAGGCCCCACCCTTGTTCCTCAGCTGGAGACCTCCTGGACCTCAGCCCTGCCAGAGAGGCTCTGGCTGGGCTGCTTTCAACAACAAAAAGTCTTTCCAGAACAGGATCCCCAGTCTCCCGTAGCCAGTCAGTCAATCTACCTGGAGACGGATCTGGTTTGGCTATTGCCTGAACATCAACACCCGGAAAAGCAGCCCTGGATCTGATGGAAGGAATCACAGAATTCTGCCAGACTGGCTGGGGCAGGGCAGGAGAGGCAGCTGGCACCCTTCAGATACCTGTTCCATCCCAATGGCCTCTCCCCAGCTTTACCCCAGACCAGATCGACCCCCAGCAACCTCCCTGCCTGTTTAGAGACTAACCCCTACACCTCTGCTTTCCATGCACCAGAGCCCTGGGATGACGCAGGGGGTCTCTCATGGTGAAGAGGAAAGCCAGCCATCTTGCTTTTCTTGCACATGAAAGTCACTTCCTCAGTGCCAGAGCTGGGGTAGGTCTGCATGGAAAGCAGAGAAGTCAGCTGAACTGGGTGGAGCACAGACAAACCCTGTGGCCATCGCCACCCCCATCCCCAGCTCAGTAAACCAGGCTCACAGCCACTCGGCTATGCAAGCAGCCTGCTCAGATGGCTGAGCAGATTAGAAAGTCACCCCAGCTGATGCTCTATGGTCCAGCACCGTGTGACAGAGGAGAAAAGCCAAAGGGCTGGTTCATTTCAGAGCCCTGTCCAGACTGCCAGTCAATGGAATGCTTTGGTATACAGCCTGTGTCTCCAGTGCCCAGACAGCGTAGCTCATTTTCTCACCCTCCACCAGCTAAAGCAGCCTTCCCACCCACACTGAATCAGACCCCCAACCATACCCTTGCAATGGGGATTTGCAGCACTACTCTTGCTGGCTGGTCGGGCTGTGCTCTGACCTCCTCCCCAGGAGTAGGGTTTCTGATCTTGATAAGATGCTGAGCAGCAAAAAGCAGCAGCAGACACTAAGAAAACCACCCCCATGTAAGTCACCAGCAAGCTCACAAACTGCAACACAAGTCATTCTGGGAGTTGGGACAGACCTCCACAGCATCCAGCAGTGAGCTAGCCAGGACATGCCTCTGCAAGCCTGCTGCTTGGCACAGCCCTGGAGCTAGAACCATGGGAAGCTTGGCGGCCTGCTGTCCTCAGCCCCAGAGAGGCAGGAAGCGGAGGTCTCCAAGCTGCTTGCCAGGAGGTGCCCTGCCTGCTGGGGATGGCCCTACTGGCATTTCCAACTGTAAAGTCATCGCTATTTGTGGCACTCAACTGTCAACAGCCACAAAATGTTCAGACTCCCATTGAGACAAATTCTGGTCCCTGAACAGCTGCCAAAACATTATCCTTAGCTGCCTGTTGTGACAGCGACCTCTGCTAAGCCTGCCTTTTTACGAAACCGTTAGCTGGAGTGCAAGACCACACACTGAACCTCGGCTGCCAAATCAGGCCCAGCCTCACTCCACACAACCTCTGCTGTGGGGCCTGAGTTCCCCCATCTTCCCACACCCAAGCCCCACGTCAGGGACATTTGCAACTCCATTAGCAACCAGCACGCTGAACAGGGGAGGGGGCCAAGCTTCCTACCACCGATGCTGGAGAAGCAGGAGGCAAAGGGGTGTTCTAAGGCAGTGGGAAGCACCATGGTAAAATGTAGTAGTTTGCCACATGCTGGCAGAAGCTGGGTGGATGGATTTGCCATTGCCCGTGTTACCAAAGCAGACAGGGCAAAGTGCCGCTGGCCTGCAGTTAGCTCCTTGTCCTCCTCTCCTCTGGACAGCCCATCGAAGCGAATCCAGTGTGATAAGCATTAAAGACAGCCCCAAGGTTTCCTCCGCAGTGACTGAGTTACAGTCTCTCCCCACTCAGCAGCAGAGCCTGCATGCTGTTTCTTCTGTGGGCTTTTCCTGACAGCAGGCCTGGCTTTCTGCTGACAGCAACAAATCCCTCAGGATCCAGATTCTTGGCCTTCATTTCTGAGGCAACCCTTTGGAGAGACTGCCACACCTTGCACTTGTGCTGTCCAAGCCCCTTTTGGAGCTGCCCATGGCCTGTTCTCCCTGAAGGATCAGAGAAGAAAGAATTTTGCCTTCCACATACTTCCTCTGCCCAAGACGGGGCGCGGATCCTCACCAGGGCAGATACGAGCCACATGTGCAGAAGGGGGCCTCACTAGGCACCTCAGCAAATCCCATGTAAACAATGAGTCCCTGGGAACCGCTAGGGCCCAAGAAAGCAAACAGCTCCAGAAAACCCCTCTCCCTGAGCAAACCCCTAGCACAAGCAAAGAGACTGCCTTCAACTCCCATCCATTTACAAATTAACGCCAGTCCCCTGCAGTGAAATAGCTGGAGAGGAACCATGTGCAATTGACACAACTTGGCTGATGGCAGCAGGACTAGCAGAAATGGAGCGTCAGGTGGGGAAGCATTCAGCCCCGAGTATCATTTGCTAGTCAGCGCTGGGAGCAGTGGCTGATCGCTTGTTTGTGTGGCAGAGGAAAGGAAGGGCACCTGTGGGTTTTGAAACCGTTCAGCTTCCTTCCACTTTGCAACAGAAACCACAGTGCAGCAGAGGCGTGTTTAATTACAGTTCCAGCTCTGCTAATTATCGTTTGGGCACATTTGTAATCTGCGTTATGCCACAGTGCATAATAAGCAGTTCACTGAGACCCATCTAATAAGCAAGGCGGCTTTATGGGATTTCATATTTCACTCTGCACTGGAACCAATGAAGCCTTATTTATCAGCTGTCTGTCCGGAGAAAAGGGAAACCAGGAGGAGCAACAGCTTTAGGTAAAGGGGGAGAGAGAGAGAAAGAGAAAAAAACCTCAAAGGCAAAGGAGAGAGAGTACAACACCTCCCCCCAGCAGACAGATTGGCAGACAGGTAGCCAGGTCCTGGGAAGACTTGGAACGGAGCTGAGAAGTGGGCCAGTGGTCGAGACAAGATCAATCCCTGAATTCACCTAACACCTGTGTTTTATCTCCCAGTGATAGGGCTTTTCATCCTGCTTCTTTTATCGAGCCCAACACAAGGTGAGAGGCTTGGTCTGCTGGTCACTGCACAAGCTGCAGGCGGACAGCCTGTGAACAGAGACTGATCTGCGAAAGGAAGAAGCCAGGGACTCATTAGTCTCACCATGGGAAGTAATTACAGTGTCCTCCTCCTAAGCACAGCGATGCCACTGGCCATGAATCTCCTCCCAGGCTCAGAGCCACATACAGCTGGAGCCAGCCCTACTGTGAGCGGCAAGCAGCAGTCCGTGTAAAGCCAGGTCTGAGAGCTTCTCTCCCCTTCAGCTAGTCACATCAAACCCCCACCACAGGGCCAGCACTTCAGCACCAGCCAGTCTGGTTCTAGAAGCAGATGTCGAGGCAGGGAGACTTGCAGCAGAAATTATGCTCATTAGGTAGCGCTCCAACACGCACACCCCTTAAGCAACCACTTTAAAGCCCCCTCCAGACACCTGGCAGTTTTGAGTGAGGATGCAGACAACAGACCTTGCAGGTCCTTTAAGTCAGGTTTCACGGCATGTGACTCACATCCGGCTTCAGTTCCTAGCTCAGCCACAGATTCCCCGTGTGACCTCAGGCAAACCATGTAACATTGCCTGTCTCAGTTCCCCTTTGTACAGCGAGGCTACTACTACCTTGCCTGCTGGGGGTCCTGAGGCTAAAGCTATTAACGTCTGTGGCGGAATGACTGCTCTCCCGGGGGCGAGGCACTAGACAGCCCCTGGGTAATAGCTGTGCAGCATACGTTTCACTGCCCAGTGCATGTCAGAGAGTGGTAGAGTCTGTATCTGTCCAGCAGCTGCAATGAAGAACCCACTTTGTGTTTACCACACCAGAGCCCTGTCTCTTCTCCAACATCAGGGACCCACACTCTGGTGACTAAGATAAGAATCTAACACAGCTAACCCAGAAAACCACACAAAGGCTGCTGGATGGGGAAAACAAGAAAGAAAATGCAGCCCCAAGAAGCTGTAAGGATCACAGAGAGATCTTAGAACTGGACTGGGGGATTACAGAGTGATCTTGAAACCTTTCTCCGGCAGCAGGCTTAGAGCTCAGAGCTGACATGCTGCTGGAAACATGCTACCAGTGCAAAGTGGTGGTGTTTCTGGTGCCTTGCTCACCCCACACAGACAACAAGCCAAACCCCTCTGCAAGGGGAACTCCCAGCCAGGTGCTGACATGGGGAGGGCCAGACACCTCTGGACTTGCACAGAAGTCAGCTGTCTGACATCCTGAGCCCATGCCAAGATGCCTCCAGCAGCCATGCTACCATGTGGTGTCTTGAAGATAATTCACATTAAAGGGCCAGCACATCTTAATCAGTACACAGAGCAGCAGTTAGTTAAACCTAGAGAAACAGAGATACATGGTACAAAAATCAAATAGAATTGGCATCAAGGCTGGATTATAACCCCTGACCCCGACATCACATGGACCCAGACAGAAACCACCAAGCCAATTTTGGAAATTTCTTGATAGCATCAGACATTAAAGTAACACCAGAAAGTGAGCTGTGTGACTGCACTTTTCAGGGCAACAGGTCTGAGACATCTGACGCTGGAGATGATTAAGCAGTGGCAGTGAAGAAACTTGGGCCATGTCTACACCAGAAACATAGGTAGTATTAACAGATGTGTTAACACACTAGCATACCCAGAGTTTAGCACATTTTCAAATGAGATAGCTGGTTGTGGTCAGCAC